CGGCTCAGCGCGGCAGCCATGTAAATTTAAATGAACCTGCGATCATTTAAATCGCGGCTTCATTTGCCTTTGCCTATGTGTCTAATCTACATGCCTCTGATGACAGAGGCATGTAGTCTGGACCCAGCCTAAGACTCCAACAGAAAATTTGGCCCAACATCCATGGAGCAGAGTTTAATCTAACAATTTAGTCTTACAACTGAAGAGGGACAAAAAATCACCACAGATAGAAACTAAATGTGCTATTAACAACATTCTTTTTTTCCTGGAGGTTCTGAAAATATGAGCCATTCCTCTGCTTCATTTCAACACTTTATAACTATTGTGATCAAATGGAGCAGGGAAGTGTTTAATGCTGATAAAAACATGATTTCAGTGGGACGAAATCCACAAAGTAATTTAGAAACTTGCACGGAATGCAAAATATCCTATTTTTAAATATTAAAGAGGCACTGGAGTTCAAATAAAAAAATTCAACGCATTATAAGCATTGAATTGTAGAATACATTTTCCTCTTCAGAAGTATAACGGCAGACTTTCTTTGCTGCTGTGGAGAACACATTAAGGTTATTCATTGGGCTTGAGTACCTGAAGGTGAAGGCTGTCCTTTTACTACTCCATTTTTAGTCTTTTCTTCAGAATTCATGACTTCTTTGTAGATCAATTCTGTGAGAAACAATGGATACAGTAATAACAGCAACTAGTTCTTATGCTCATGAGACAAACTAATGCTATAGATAATATTTGAAAACAATTCTAAGTCAGTCACTCTTTCACTTCTGCCCCCATCTCAATTATCCCCCCCTCCCCTCCTTGTTCCTGCAGCTGGACCAAGGAAGTTTTGGCATGCTTTCTATTCCTTACGTAACAGTGAAAGGAACTGGACTATTGTAACTAAACTCAGATTCCATTTTATTCAGCCTATTTTACGGTAACATAAAACTTTTCTTTCTCTGTACCAAAATCTATAGCAAATACACTAGGGAGTTTTAAACCATTTATTCAATGCAGTATAATGCTTTAATACAGGCCAAATTGGCCAATCTTTAAAACATGCAAACAGGGAGTGAAGCTAAACCTTTATGTAACTATGTATTATGAAATTTGTAATGAAAGAATGAAAGAATACAAGCATTAAACCAACATTTTTCTATGCCTTCTTGCTATCTGTGTAAGCATTTCCCATTTGTTTTTTCTTTTTATTTCTCCGTCCTCTTTTCTCCTATTAAAGAGGAGATTAAACGCATTCTACCAGCATTCCACAATTTCATCTTGGCTACTTGAGCTTTAACATGTCTATCCACGTTTACTTTTTGTGTGTACACTTTTTAGACATATATAGAAAAGTATACTAGCTAAATTATTTTAGTATTGCATTATGCAGAAATAAGTTTGGCACGGTCACTGTAATGCTGTTTACCATGGACCAGGTTCTAACACTTTACCTGTGTCGATTAACATGTTAATCCATGCATGGTCCCCTTGACTTCCATCGGTATCAGAATCTGACCTCATTCCTTTTAGTGAACAGTATTTGGTGTATCAGGCAATAAGGACTAAAATGTACACAGGCTCTGTGGCATCTTTACTCATGTACTCGTCACACAGGAAGCCCCGCCCCCCTCCAACATCAGCGTGTCTATTCACACAGGAAGGGACTACTCTATATACGTAAATCTAAAATTAGGCCCATAACGAGCTATGCCACGTGGTTGCATATGAGTATAGAATTCCTTTAAACTTTCTGCCGTGAATTTTTGTATAACAGGGTACTCTTGAAACTATATCATCATCAGGCTGCGACCTACCGTAAAACAATTTGTTCTTGGATCAAATATATTGCTATTGGTGTTCTTTTCAATCCTTTGGACACTACAGGTGTAACTCCTTCTATATTTACCAACAAAGGTAAATATAGGGCTAAATTCTCTGGAGTCAAAGAAGTTATTCTGGGTTTATCCTGCTACATCTTATTTATACTGCTGCATTTGGTCCATATACCTTTAAAACAGGATTACCTTTCCATTCCTCAATTGTGTGCTCTCTTTCATCCAGCTGTTTATCATATATCTGAGGAGGAGGCTGTAAAGTAGAAACAAACATGGGTAAATAGCCTATTCCTTTACCTTAGAAACTAAATACACAGTAAGGCTACATCTACACTGCAGGCTTTTTGCGCAAGAACTGTTTTGTGCAAGCGTTCTTGTGCAAAAGGTCTTCCACAAGAGCACATCCACACTGCCATGTACTTTTGTGGAAGAGATGTGCTTCTGTGTAAGAGCATCCATGGTAGTGTGGACGTTCTCTTGCAGCCACAGGGCTTTCTTGTGCAAGAAACCCCTGTTGCCTGTGTACAGTGCCTTCTTGTGGAAGAGCTCTTGTGCAAGAGGGCTAATTCCTTGTGGGGAGAGGAGTAACTCTTGCGCAAGAAGCCCTGTTTTCTGATGCTTTGTTGTGCAAGAACGCACGTGGGCTACGTCTACACTGGCCCCTTTTCCGGAAGGGGCATGTAAATTTCACTAGTCGTCGTAGGGAAATCCGCGGGGGATTTAAATATCCCCCGCGGCATTTAAATAAAAATGTCCGCCGCTTTTTTCCGGCTTTTAAAAAAGCCGGAAAAGAGCGTCTAGACTGGCCCCGATCCTCCGGAAAAAGTGCCCTTTTCCGGAGGGTCTTATTCCTACTTCAAAGGCACCAAGTAGGAATAAGAGCCTCTGGAAAAGGGCACTTTTTCCGGAGGATCGGGGCCAGTCTAGACGCTCTTTTCCGGCTTTTTTAAAAGCCGGAAAAAAGCGGCGGACATTTTTATTTAAATGCCGCGGGGGATATTTAAATCCCCCGCGGATTTCCCTACGACGACTCGTGAAATTTACATGCCCCTTCCGGAAAAGGGGCCAGTGTAGACGTAGCCCTGCAGTGTAGACGCTCTGTAAGTTTTTGCACAAGAACAACTGTTCTTGCACAAAAAGCCTGCAGTGTAGACGTAGCCTAAGAGTTTCTGACTGTTTTCATACGTGGTCATTAAAAGGATTAAAATTCTTGGAGATCATCAGCATTTATTAAAGAACTCCTGCTGCTTCTCCTCTCCCGCCCCCCTTTCTCCCCACACACTGGTAGTAGGTACCCCTGCTGTTGAAATAATACCCTGAAATTCTTGCTGTACTGCATTGCAATGTTATTTAAATAATCAACACTGGCAGGAATGAGTTTGTACAGGTTGAACCTCCCAGATCTGGTCTCTCTGGTCTGGCAACATCCAGAAGGAAGGACCAGGGATGTTGCTGGAGAAGAGAGCCCCTGAGGTGAGGAGCCGCAAGCCAGCTGGGAGCCCCGTGGGTGCTAGGGAGCCCCCCGTTAGGCTGGCAGGAGTTGGGTCTGTGGTGGGTGGGGAATCCCAGGCTACGGAGCCCCTGTGGTGGCTGAGAGGAATCCCTGGCCCCAGCCAGGAATCCTGGAGATAGCAGGGGCAGAAGCAGCCAGGAGGGATCCCCAGTCTGGAACTCTAGCAGCAACAGGGCCAACGGGAAGCCGCAGGCCAGCCGGCAACCCTAGTTTAGAAGGTCCAGCGTCACCAAATCAGCATTTGTTTATTTATTTTTTTGCCAGAAAAGTTTGGGATGAAAATTTTTGCCCAACTCTGCTTCAGTGGTCTAGAAAAACAAAGCAAGCAGCCATAAGAAAGGCACAAAAATTAGCGAGGTGATTAATTTGACTCACACACTGATCTAGCTTTTTTGCCAAATTTTCCTTTCTAGAGAAAAAAAAAAGGTGAATTTTCAATATTCAAAATGGGTGATGCCATGCAAGTTGTTTTAATTATAATCCAACCAGCCCAGTTAAAAAAATGTTTTATTACCATCTTGTAATGGATGTTCTTTGAGATGTGTTGCGCATGTCCATTCCATGTAGGTATGTGCGTGTTGCATGCTGGACAGGGGACTGGATTGGATGACCTCTCAAGGTCCCTTCCAATTCTAGTATTCTATGGTTTTACGACTGTTGCAAGGTTTTTCCCTCAGTGATACCTGTCAGGCCAGCAGGGGAGTCCCCTAGAGTGGCACCTGCATATGCATGCATATGTACCTCTGCTGACCCGCCAGCCCCTCGGTTCCTTCTTGCTGGAACACTCTGATGAAGGGGATGTGGGTGGGAATTGGAATGGAGATGAGTAATACATTTTGAACAACAGTTCTGAGATGGCAAGTAACCATTTTTATTTATTCGGAAACTTCAGGGGGTAGCCGAGTTAGTTTGTACAGAAAAAAACAACAAATGGTCTGGTAGCACTTTATAAACTAACAAAACGCGGAGATGGTATCATGAGCTTTCGTGGGCACAGCCCACTTTTTCAGAAGATACACGTAAAAGAAACATACAGAAACCTATTGGTGAACACTTTAATCTTCCTAATCACTGGTTAAAAGATTTTCAAGTGGCTGTCTTGTCACAAACCAGTTCTGCTAGCCAGATACACAGAGAAGCATTGGAATTAGATACAATTTTGATACAATTTTGTGGTGACCTTGAAGCTTTTTTTCACCGCCTCCGCAACATCAACCATTGGAATTAGAGTTCATCCCCAAATTCAATTCTCATGCTAATGGACTCAATCATGGTGAACAATGGTTAGGACACTATCTACCTAACAGTCAATGAAGTTGCAAACAGCTCTTTGTGTAGATTCCTATGTCAGGAAGGATACTATCAATTGACTTTGATTCTTATCTGCTTTGTTTTAACTACCCAATCTTCAGATACTTACTGATTCCCTCTACCTTCCTGAATTTTCTATACCCTCTGCTCCCTGTCTCCCACCCCTTCCTCACCCCCTTCCCCTCCACTCCTATTTATTTTGGGTCTGTACATCCTAAACTCAAAACTCTGGTAATCTGAAGAAGTGGGCTGTGCCAACGAAAGCTCATGATACCATCTACGTTTTGTTAGTCTATGAAGTTCTACCAGACCATTTGTTGTTTATTTAGTCGATTGCTCTTGTCCATTCCATGTAGGTGATTCCTAAGCCAGACCCAAAGAGATGGGGTCAGAGACCAGCTGGAGACTGCAAGATGGCTTTGCCAACAGCTGCATCATCCCTGGCTTGCTGCACCATAGCGTGATGGTTCATGAAAGTAAGCAGTGAAGACCAGGTGGCCACCTACAGGTGTCCAGGATGGGTACCTGTGCCATGAAAATAGAAGACAAGGCCTGTGCCCTAGTGGAATGGGCATTGATGGTGGGAGCTGGCAAATGGGCCAGTTCATAACACCTCCTGATGCAGGATGTAATCCAGGAGGAGATACATTGAGCCGAAACGGAGAGACCTTTCCTTCTATCAGCTCTTGAAACAAACAGCTAGGGGGACTTACGGAGGGGTTTTGTCTTAGCTAAATAAAAAGCTAAGGCACATCTAAAGTGTGTAGAGCCTGTTCTGTGCCTGACTTATGTGGTTTGGGATAAAACACAGGCAAAAATATGTTCTTATTGATATGAAGACAGGCCTTGTCTTCGATCTTCATGGCACAGGTACCCATCCTGGACACCTGTAGGTGACCACCTTGGGTGTGGGTGAAGCCTAACTTTATCCTTAAAGAAAACAGTGTAAGGAGGATCCGAGGTTAGAGCTCGGACACCCATCTAGCAGAAGTAGTAGACACCAGAAAGGGGACCTTTCAGGAAAGGTGCAATAAAGAGCACCTTGCCATGGGTTCAAACAGAGGCCCCGTAAGTTTTATAAGCACTAGATTAGGGGTTGGCAAAGTAGAGCCTGCATGCCATAAGTGTCAGGTGAGCCGATATTGAGTAGTAATACGAGGTCAGTGGCTCTGCGTAGTTCCCTGTAACAAAATCCACACACACCTGCCGCCTTCTTTGCAGTCACACAGCAGCACTGACCTTCCAGCAGGCATGGTGTGTGTGTGTGGAGGGGAGGGGGAGCGTTCCTTCTCATCAGCATAAGAATGAGTGGTGGAGGGTGTTCCTTCTCATCAGCAGCCATGCAGCCCAATTGATGGGTGGCTGCCCTGTGTGCTGCAGCGGGAGCTAGGCCACAGTGAGGATGTCCCTGCTGGGGCAGCCTTACCCCAGCTCCAGTTCCAGCCCCCGATCCAGCAGGGCTTCATGGCGGGTGGCTGCTTTGGGTGCTACGGCTGCTCCTGAGGTGGTCAGCCCACATGGAGGAGCGAGGCTGCTTTGGGGGGTAGGGCTGCTCTGGAGGCAGAAGCAGCTCCCGGGGCAGATGCTGTCTGGGGGGGGCAGGGCTGCTTGGCGTGTAGGGGAGCAGGGCTCCTCCAGGGGTTAAGGCTGCTTAGCTGCATGGTGGTGCATGGCTGCTCCAAGGGCCATACTTCTTTTAGGAGGGTGTAGACCTCTTGGATGGATAAAAAAGAGCTGCCGGTCATATCGGAGACCTCGTAGGTGGCGGAGGAAGGCATGCACCAAAGTACTCCATACCGGACTACCTGCACTATAGAGGAGTATCTGCAGAGGCTGGAGGGGGATGGCTATGCATGCAGGCCAGACCCTGACCCTTCACCTCCAGGGGGAGAGACAGGACCCCTGCAGAGACCCAGTGTATTCCTGGCTAGAAGAACTCCAGGGCTGTCCTCTGGAGTCTGGCCAGGACCTCTGGTGTTGAGCTGGTGCCAGAGCATGGACAGGAGTAGTTGATACAGCACCAGTGCTCTCTCCTGCAGGGAGAAACACTGAAGCAGTCCTGCCCATCTCCGCAGAAACTCACACACCCTGGCCTCCAAACCCTACACTTCTCCAGCGGGGAGGGATGAGTGACAGATAGAAAAACGCCCAGATAGAGCAGCGGACCCGACCTTCACCTGATGGCCTGAAGTGCAGGTGGGAGGGAGTGTGCCTGCCACCTGTCCTCAACTACCAGGCCAGAGCTCTTGACTCAGTTGACCTGGGTGGAGGAGACTGCCAAGTACACAGCTTGGCAGGCCTTCCCCTGCATTAGGTTGCCTGGGTCCTGGACCATGAGGAGCATGTCATTGGTGTACGCTGACAGGACCAACCACAGCTCTGGCTCTGAGATCACCAACCCCATCAACCTCCAGCGGAGGAAACAAAGG